TTGCTTATACTTTAACAAATACATTCATTGTTTTTATATTTGGATGCTGGTTCTGATAAGATAAGATAAGATAAGATCAGATAAGATAATACGATGTAGATGTATGCAACATAAACGTTGTCAAAATGTATAAATTTAAATACATTTGCTTAAATTTATGATGGAAGATTGAAGTTGAAAACTATGTACAAATATAACAAGAGTGTTGCTTAAAAGACCCGAAATAAAATTCATTTTATGGTTGATACTAAACTATACTACGGTTCGTACACTTTAGTGTTGCTTAGCCCAATGTAAATTACAAGAGTACTGTTCTTTTTTGATGTTTCCGAACAAAACAAAATTTATCTAGAACATTCCAATCGTTATAACTTTCAAGTTGCTACAAATAACTGATTTAGTCTTTCTATTGGAACTGTCTCTCTTAATTGGACAGACAAATGACACCACCAGGAGATTTTAAATGCATGACTTATAGGCTAACTTGTGTACGAAGCGTGTATTTAGCAAAGTATTCGCAGACTTTCAGTAGAGGTGACGCCGCGACCAAGGAGACGGTTAGTAGTTACGTGAACACAAATTGTGTCTTCCAGCGATGAAGTGTTGTATTAAAATACCAGTGCTACATAAGTCGAAGTGTCTTGTCTTATAGCATTCAGAAAAACGTCTGAAAGACTTGTCAGCCAGAAGTGTTATTTCTTAGCCACGCATACATTATATATGGACAACACGTGACGATGGGTTGGTTATATAAGATTCAGTGCCAATATTGTCCATTCACGGAAGCTTTTTATAATTTTAACGACACGAATACGAATTATAATCGTCATGACCCACTGTACACACAGGTAGTTGACGTGGTTAGAGGGAATGCACGCGAGAATCATGATATTGGTTAGAAATAACGCAGTTATTATCCCATTCCGTTTTATTCGACACACGTTTCGAATTATTTCTAGTGTTCAAATTCTGTTGCCCCCGCAATGAATTCAAGTATGCAGAGCTTCATCCAGTAGACATTGCTTTCATAAATTGATAGAAGGTTCAATCGTAGACACATCAATGCCTCTGTAATTACGTTCTGCAAGAAATTAAATTAATTATTTGTGCAATTATCTTGTAGCTGTAACTATCATTATTAATACTAAACCTAATTAGCTCTAAGTATTCATAGACTAACGAAAAGTCTGTCCTATCAGCGATATTTATCAAAGCTATTTAATATTATTTTGAGAAACCTTGATAAACGTATTGAAAGACGATTGGTCAGGTGATTATTCGTATACATTAGACACAATAATGTATCTTCTGTCGGCAAATCGTTATTCTGTTTGTTCAGTAACATGGCTGTACTACAGAACATCTATGACTCGAGTGTTGTAAAGTAAAGTAGTTTCCTCTCATTCTTAATGTAGGAGTGTCATGAAAGATCGGATATTTTCTTGCAATTTTCAATCTGAAACTTGGGTCTTTGTTTTTGTGTCTTTGTTTTGTGATGATGGAGTGAGGCGTTAAAATCTGGTCATGAATTCAGTGATAAAATATATAGGGGCTAGTTTGTTACAAAACATTTACACTATCATCTATTTCCTTTAGGTTAGCCTTGGTTGGGTGTATCTATTCATGGGTGTGGTTATAGGGTCTAGTGTGGTACCGATAGCGCTGACCGTTTTCTGGACAAGGTTGAATGGTAAAGGTGCAACCATAGGCACAGTTGGGGGTACACTGTGTGGTCTAACTGCATGGTTAGTCACAGCATCGACATTCGATGGTGGATTGAGTTCGGATGTGTTCCTAACAAATACAGGTAAAAAAAAACGCTGAAGTGCACTTGTTAATGAATTTTATAGTTTGAGCATGAATAATTCTAATATTCTTCGAACAAACACAACCACATTGCATGTACACAAAATACTTATCACATATGTTTTATATGGAATGAAAAATTTGCAGTGAATTATAAGCCTTAACTCACTCTTTGGAATTGTAAAATTAGCATAAAACAAATCACACAAATCTCTATATCATAACAACAGTAACAATTCCGGAATTTTCAACTGAACAATTCCCCTGTTGAATTAAAATACCCATAATAAATTAGATTAGGGTTTCTTTACCATGTCTGTCGTTGAAGAAGTAGTCTTTAAGTTCATTTCGCCCAGCAGATTGAAGACTGGGAATGGATTTCCAGAATACACTTCGTTTGGTCATCTTATTCTCACATTGGCGCCATGTTATTCAAAGTTAGTTAGTTGTGCGAGCACAAGTTCGTAATGTCGGTGGATTTTGTAATTTTGAGTCATTACCAGGCAAGAGGGACGTCAAAAATTGGTCAATAGATTTAATCTTGGAAATGGTTCAATAGTTTACCCGAGATATCCATTTTAGAAAGAGTATTTTCCGATTCAATTTATAATCACCATTTGTCCACCCCGTTGCCAGACCATACTCGAGCATTTTTTGATGGTTAAGACAGAGAATGAACTTGTTTGGTAAATTATCTTTCAAGGAATTCACTCCTTTATTTTATGACACATAATGTGCTAAACTCGTTTATTATTCATTACACACTGTGTAATAGCTATATTGGGTTGTTTAAACCCTTAGGACAGGAACTCAGTATGTTGAATGGTAACATCGTGGCAATACTGACAGGCGCTATTCTAACTATCGCTGTGTCTATTACCACCAACCGTCACATGACTGATGAGCAGAAGGAAGAAGAATGGGAGAAGACACGTGACATTGATAACCCCCTGCTTCCCTGGGCTGACCGATATGCCAGGTATGAATACGAGTAAATAACAGTCGGGGAGAGGACATTGAATTGAATAAACTAAAATAAATAAATAAATAAATTGTTTAATTTTTGAATTCCTCTAAATGTATTTTGCGACATTGAGTATTCTGTTTATATTGCGTTCGTTCTAATGTATATTGTCAGACCATTATAAGATAATATTCATAAACATGTAAATATAGATACAAAGGTGAGACATTATATTTTTGAGTAAAACTGGTTTACAAAACCTTAAATAAAATTTGATTGCATGCTATTCGTGTAAACATTTGTAAAATTTGTAAATTTTCATCCACTTTATGGAACATAATCCTTAAGTCACGTTGGAACACCTACTCCATTTCAATAGATAATCTAACTTTATTTTGGTTACTTTCATTTCAGCGAAATCGGGCACTACGATTCTAAGCGTTTGTCTAACCGACCTGAGTTGAAACTAGTGGAGAAAACGTTCAGGGTTGCCAAGATTGCAGCGATAGTTAGCGCTGTACTTTTGACAGCAATCCTTATAATAATATGGCCTGCCTCTATGATCGCTATTAATGTTATGGACGCTACTGAGTTCAACATCTGGGTCGGTGTGTCCCAAGGCTGGGCGTGGATTGGTGCCGTGTTCATCATTAGTGTACCGATCATAACTGAAGTCTACACCATTGTTAAACAAGTGATTCGTAACCGATACAGCCACGATGACGAACAAAAGTTGAGCAAGGATAAATGTTTGTCACAATATACACAGACAAATCTCGTTTATGGGGATGACAATGACGATAAGATTAAGGAAGCAGCATTTTAAGGTAATGTGCGCAACGCTTAACAATATCAACATTATACAAGTAACCTGTAAAATGCTTTGTGGGTAATATTTTTATATTAATGTTTGTTGCACTTGCAGCAAATAGTTACCAAACAATGAGAAATTTATAGGATTAGATGAACCTCTCAGCTGGCTTCACATGCATAGTTCAAGCCTGCCTAATCGGTGCTTATACCAGGATTTAATTACAGCACCGAGTAACCTAGTAACTGTGCCGGGCGTTCGGGCAAACCGTTAATTATTCGTAAATGCAGTTCCACAGCATGTTTGCCAATGCAAAATTCTAAATTTAAACTAGGTAAGACTGACTTCTCCTTTAAACCCGGGATTCAACCATTATAGAGGCGTTTCAGTAAAAACAAAAAATCAAATCATGCAACATTTTCAAACCAGTATACAGAAATGCAAAAGAAGGATAGATATTACTTTTAAGTATACAAATCTATGTTACATATACTACTTCCAGTTATTCCTGCGTAAAATGGAATAGCCTCTTTCCATGTTGACATTCAGAGTAAAGTGATAGGCTGTTAAAATCGGCTATTACAGACTCTTTCGCCGGTCTGGAAAGTGTGTTTAATTAGCTCTCATTCAAGCAACAATGCAGATTTCCCAGTGGGAGTGAAACTAATTCGACTCTGTCATTAAAAAATAGGTGTGTTTTCAGCAAAAAAAGTAATAACCCTGAAGTGAACACAATACACTGAATGTCGGAACAAATCTTGCATTATTTACAGCAGCAGAATACCACAGAAATATCAGACGAAACATGAAAACACTATATATTGTATTTTGGCCTGTACCCTCTCTATTGCAATTCCAGGAATTACCCCCATATATGCAACCATTTTACACCATGGTATCACCCACCCCTGAAAACAAACTCTTAATACCACGCTGAAGCGTTTGGTAATAAATATTAATAATCTGACAATTATTAAGGTATACATGCAGGTTTGCGGGAACTCACATATATGCTCTATTTGTTATTGCAGCAGTGTGAAGCCCGGGGCTGTCTAAATACAAAAAATGCCGATTACATCCATAATTGAATCGTGATAATGATAATTGTCGATTTTTTTATTCATTACAGACATTGGTAACAAGTTTTTTTTAAAGTATGTCACCTAACAGATGTGTTTAACAAGGCTATCAAGATTACTTTATTCATACTGTGGACCTGGTTTATTGAATATCTATATTCTTTCAATGTAATAATAAACCACTGTCAAAAGTGGGCATACCACACTCATTTTGTACAATCTACTTACTGCGTTCATTGATTAAATACATTAAATTAATAGTAAACATGAAGGTATAAAAACTATTGTCATACCATCTTTGATATTAATGCTATAGCTGGTATACAATCTCAGGAATACTCACAGCTACTAATCTTTGCATCACCGAGACACCATCTTTTTAAATTCCAGCTAATTTGATGTCCCTTTCCACGCCGACAAATTTATCTAATGATATATTATAATTATTTTCATTCTTGTATGAAGTGAGTTTACCAGTTGATCTACGTACTATTATATTTGTTTGAAATTTGAGTGACTTTGTATATCCATATTTCACCACTTCAATTGGAATCTCTTACTTCTAACCTATATAAATAAAAGCAGTTTTACATCATAGTTCAAGTTTCTCTTTTTTCTCAGAAATGGTGAATTTATTAAAATGACTGAAACCGCGGCAAAACAGGTATAGCCACTAAAATAGGTAGTATTACTTGAATTGTGTCCTATGTCAGAACTAATTAATTTATTCACTTCATCAGGTAATTTGTAGAATACTCCGTATGACTTGAAAACTCTTTGTTCAAAATTAATTTTATTTTATTGACCTTCAAATAATAAGTGAATATTTTATAATTTAGTAAAAATAATTAATGTGCTGAATTTACATTAATTTTCTTATAAAGAGTACGGGTCTGTAAATCTCGAGATACAATGGTTCATGGTACGGTCAAATATGTACTTCTTTTAAAAACACCATATATTGGATTCAAATTGGAAGAGTGATAATTTTTATTTAAGGTAGAGATGCAGGTTGGGAGACTATATTTTTAATTTGCTCTAATTACTGTAATTACACGAATAAAAAATAACTTTTACCCATCAAGTTATATATCATTCGAAAGAGTTTTATTTAAACTTTCCAGATACATGGTTTACAATAATGTACTAGGATACCATATTAAGTTATGAGGGTTTGGGTTAAAATCATGCATTTTAGGTGAAAGTGCACTTAAAAATATTTAACTTTTGAATGCATACCCTGATTGTGATTTAAAAACACTTATTTAAAACTCCTGTTTATCAGAAACAAAGTGGCTTATTTATTAGTGTTTCCATTGACAAGATTTTTCACAGTGCTCTTTGAAACATTAACATTTTATAAATCGTTCACAATTAACAGAGCCGCTAATTGGCAGCTCTATTGTTTCTGTTCCAGTGAAGACAGTGAAACCAGTACAATTCGTGAAGCCGATGAGATATCCATACAGTTATATTTCCACGCTCCCCGGTGAAATGAACTATGCGAAGTTAAACGACCCAGTTAAAATTGGCCTTAATATTTTGCTACACAACGGCTATTCACAGTTTTCACTACTCAATCACCAAAACGCCGGTGAAACAAATTCGAAAAGAAGTCACCCAGCACGGCCATACAACGTACTTTGCGACATCGCTACCGGTGCATGCTAGCTGACAAGGGGGTTTCCGATTAAGGTAACAAAGATGGTATCGCATGATTTTCCCACGATGTTTAAAAACAGCATCTCGTTGCCGATTTGTTTCTGTAATTTACAGTGTATTTTTTTATTTTTAATTAACTGATCATTTTACGTTTGTGTATTTTGACACTCAAAAGTTAGTTATCGACAGTTCCGAAATTGTAACACTATCTAGCCTAGACTGTCTGGGTAAGAAAAAGCAAACAAAAAATCACTCTGAGTGCCCACGAACCTGCATCTCTACCTTAATTCTGAACGGTTTCTCTTGTTTTCTCTGTCACTGTTGTTTATTTTGTTTTCACCGAAACACCCAAATATTCAAAAGTAATAGCATACTGTAGTATATAATTATACAGATTTTTTAGTTTATTAATCTTTTCAATATTATTAATCTGCCATTGTCTCAATTTATATTACTTATGCAATACAATTTCTAATCAGTTTTTACTAAACTAATTGTTTTTGGTGGACTTTTGTATTTGCGAATAATGTTTTTTTTATTATTAGAATTCCCTTTATTTGGTTTAACTACAACATCTGTCTTATTAGATAGTTCTAAATTGTGAACAATCATTCAATCAATCATTTATCCCGAACCATATTTAGATGCCAATATATAATATACGCATTGAGTTGAAATACTGATGTGCATTGATTGTGGAGTAACTGAGAGTGTATGTCCCAAAGCTATAATGATATGTGTAAGTTGGTACGTTTTTCTAATAGCACAACTAGGACAATTTCATAGTAAATGAGCCTCAATAATCTAGAATGACTCTTAGTCCCTAGTCTCAAATGTTAACTCTATTAGTATTTCGAACATTAATTCCTCATTCGCACCACAATAAGTTCATCAATAAGCATACATAAATTCATGCTAATAAATTACTAGTCTAGTACTTATGTGTTTAATTCAATGTTTACAGAGACACGCATCATAGGAAAAGATCTATTCCGGTTCCCCATCCATCCGTCTAGCAACTAGTACTGTGGTACGAAAGATGTTTCAATTCTCATCTACACACTGCAACTAGGCTGGACATGAGTTAATTTTAAACTTATATCGACACATGCACTATACAAAACGTTTGGATATACTTTCAAAAAATAGTAACAAAGCATAACTTGTAGGCGAAATCAACGATTCAGTTATGAAAACAATCGAAGAGTAAATGTTTCGAGGCGCGCTTTGTAGGACAAGAAATCTCGTAGCCAGCTTGATTAAAATTTATGCGAAATCACTATGAAATGATAGTTGTCTTTCCATCAAAATAGTGAAAGAAAGCTGTATACATTATGGAAGCTGACCGCTAGTAGATTGCAAATGGAATGTTTCTATCTGGAATGCGCGACTGTGACAATCATGATGTATGAGGAACAAAACAAAACCTAACAATTACTAAATTTATTCCTCATTTATTAAGTGTGAATTGCAAACAAAATTATACTAGAGCGAGGAACTGACACTTTCTCGCAGCTCATCTACACTTGATATCATCCTCGCCAATAACTGAATTTATTAAATATAACAGTTAAATGACGAGATTCTCAATGATAAGTGGTGAGAATTATCAAAGGTCAACAAAATTTGCGTTAAAATGTTTCTACATGTTAGAAACAAGATGAGCACATGAAGTGTTGCCAAACTGCGAAAAGTGTGTGCTTCTCACACTTCATTATTTTGAGGTGGAGTGACAGTAATAATGCTGCCGTCAATCTAAATGTAACTGCAATAGTTGCACTCAAATAAGTTATTTATATCGAAGCACTTTACAATTAGCAGTTGTAGCAGCCCCCCTCCCCATTTCCCTCCAAATAATTCCTGCTAAACATGGCTTCGGCATTCAACCACACATTCACATCGCCAGGGCAATGACGATTAAAATGATACTTGTCTGTTTTGTGCAAATTACAAGAAATTATGGCCAAGAACAAAACAGTAAAATGAAAAATTAAATCAATTGTCCGTTGCAGTAGACGACAGAACATGAATTTGTAGCCTTCAAGGGCAAATGCTAAATTGACTCGAGTATCTAACCACCTTTTCCAGGAATTTTCATTGGCCAAACAATTATTGAGACGATTGTCTTCAAAATGAAACTCAAGCCACGCAACACGATCCCTTTTTTGTGCACTGTAATTGTTTGTTAATTATTTTTTTAATTAATGAAGCCATTGGCCCATTCTTCAACCCAGAGTTCTTAACACAGACAGGCTAAAACTTCTGCCACACAAG